CGTAAACAAAAAAAGTTGTAAAAGAGATGTGGTCATTTTATATAAATATTGCATGGATTGGTTTTACTTGTAGTAGATTGTCAAAGTGGAATTTTGGAAATTATCCACATATCCAAAATTTTGAGTGAACTGGGACAATCGTTGATAGTTGACCATCAATGGTCGCAATAACAAGATTTTTTATAATATTTAATTAAACAATATTAAGATTCTTAAATAAATATATAAATGTATTAAAAAAATCATATACATATGAAAATATAATCCAACACAATCCAAAATAATAAGAAAAATGCAATATCAGAAAGAAGTAAATTTGTATGATTATTTGTTGTCTTATTTTATTTTTTAAAAAGAAGTAACTTTACATTTCTTGTGGGAGAAATCTTTTCCAAGGTAAAATGAGAAATTTTAGGAATTAAATACATAAAAAAAGAAATTCAATACAAATTGCCCTAGCTGCACACTTGCAACAACTCACAATTATTTTTATCATGCCCTATTTTTTTTCTTTTTTCAAAAAAAAGGGGAAAAAAAATCATAATAATTTAATACCGACAGAGCTAGCTTGTAGGCAACCGTCAGTGCTCGCAGGGTGTTGGCTTTGCCAGTGATGGAAACTATAAATATATTTTCACTACTATTTCCGTTTGATACACCACTATATTTATGCGCGCTATTTAAAATATATTATTGATAAACACACCACAATGAATTTACAATTGTATATAGTGGCTCTTAAGGTATGTGTAGTTAAAAAGTAAGTAAAAATTGTGAGTTCTTCTCAATATGGATTAAAATTAAGTTTGATCAACTTATAAACAATTGTAAGCTTTGCCAAACATGCACTACCTAGGCAATATTTGCAAACTTGTTCCAAGGTAGTCCTCCCAATCCTTATCTCCAACAACCAGAGCACATTTGCACAGGGAAGACAGATTACTGATAATATTGTTTGCCCTTATGAGCTTCCACATTCAATGAGCAGAAAGAAAAATGGTTGGAAATGATTAATGGCAATCAAAATGGATATAAACAATGTTCACAATATAGTGGAGGTCATAGTCAAGACTAACTTTTGCTCCTATCCCAAAAGTTGTGTACTTGTGTTGGGTGTGGTGGCTTATCTGAGATAATAGGACCTGCTGGAATATGGAGAAAAGTGCATCCAGTCGAGTTAATTAGGGATCGAGCTATGGCACTGTGCACTGAATTTCTTAGGTAGGAAAGATGAACAAAATTCAAGATAAGGATTCACTAATCTGTCCTCCGGTGTAAAAAGGACAAAAACGTGATCTAGGTTCCAATTTACCAATATTTTGATGAGCATATGCAGTACAGCCAAGCACTTTCAAGTGAGAATAATTAACATGATTTTTAGACCAAACAGATTCAGGAACTTCAAAATTCAAAGCACCAGCAGGGGTTCTATTCACAAGATATGCAGCAATTTTACAATTTCACCCTAAAACAGTTTAGGTAAGCCAAAACTTAAAAGCATGCATCTTACCTTGTTTAATAAAATTTTATTCATTTTTTTAGTTATGCCATTTTGTTGAGATGTATAAGTAAAATTTTTATGTCTTAATATGCCATGCTCGTTCCAAGAATTATTGAATTCATAGTTTCAAAATTTCAAACCATTGTCAGTTCTTAGAATTTTTATCTTATGATCAATTTTGTTTTCAATTTGTGTTTTCCAATATTTGAAAATTGAAAAAAGTTTCATCTTTTGGTTTTAATAAGAAAATCCAGATTTTTTAAGAGAAATCATCAATGATCAGAAGATAATATCTAAAATCAGTTAAGGTACACACAGAGACAGGACCCCATAGATCAACATACAAATATTCAAGTATTTGTTTGGATTTATGAATTTCAGGAAAGAAAAGTAGCTTGACTTGCTTGCCTATCACATATTGTTCACAAGAGCCAATATTACCAAGATTTTGATTTTCCAATACTCAATTGTTTTGTAAAGAATTTAAACTTTTTTTGCCAATGTGGCCAAGTTTTCATGCCATAATTTTGCCAAAGTAAAATTTTCAGTCAAAGCAGTTGCAGTCAGACTAAGTAATTGTTTAACTTTCAAAAAATAGAGACCATGTCTCTTAGGGGTGCTAATAATCAAATCAGTACCTCCTAAGAATCTTAATATGTCTTTGATCCAATTTTATGTTAAACTCCATATCATCTAACATTCCTAGAGACACAAGATTCCTCTCTAAATCAGGAACAAGTCTAGTTTCTCTCAGAAATAGAACATTACCACTTTCAAGTAAAGTTTTACAGTTCGTATTCCGTTTATTTTACATGTCATATTATTTTCCATTATTACTTGCCTCCCAGTGGTTTTTTCAAATTCAAGAAAACAGTTTTTATTTGAGCATGTATGGAAAGAACAACCTGAATCAAGTATACATTCATCACTTAACTTCTTTTTAATATTAACAAGGACTAACCCATCTTCAAACTTTTTCTTTATTGCAGACTAAGACATTATTCCCATTATCCAATTTCTTTTCTTTTGATTCATTTTTTTTTCTTATAATAGTCTTTGTTAAAATGACTCAGTTTTCGACAATAATATTATTTCTTGCCTTTTGCCTTATTTTTGGATTTATTTTTATCACTCAACTTATTCTTGTTTTCATTTAAGGTTTTTGAATGAAAATTAGGTTTACTAAATCATTTTTCCCTTTACTAACAGATTGTCTCCCATATGACTTACTTTTGATTCAA